AGTATGCAGGAGTAACTATGATGAAAATAAGACATGCAGCAGGAGTTGCGCCGGAGTCAAGACTATGATCACGTTGGGAGTTCGAGAGTTCGACGGAAGTCCGGACGGTCGTCGGAGGTTCTATGGGAACAAATCCGAGAAGTCCAAGAGCTTGCCAAAAGAAGCTCGTCGGAACTCGCCAAGTGCATAGTCGTAAGTCCAGGAGTTTGCCGGAAGTCCGCAGGAGCATCACCGAGGGTTCATTGGATGATCGACGGAAGTTCGTCGGAAGCTCGCCGGAAGAAGCGATTGACGCACCGGAGCAAGTTGTAGTAAATGTCTTAAGAAATATCATAATTAGCACGATAATTATGTTAGAAATGGGAGGTGATCCCATTAACTTAATCTTGGGGCAATTGGGCCCTTGACAGACCCAAATTGGGCTGAATGGATCAGCCCATTTGGACCCAGATTTCTTGGCCAACGGTGGCACCGCTTGGGTCGGCGGTGGCACCACCCAGGGCTCAGTCTTTGAGCTAGTCTAGCCGGTGCAACCACTGACAAGTGGTGGAACCGCCTGAGCTCAGTCTCCGAGCTCTGCCAAGCGGTACAACTGCCCTAGTCATGCGATGGCACCGCTTGGGCTTAGTCTCCGAGCGAGACTGGGCGGTGCAACCGCCCCTGTCAAGCGGTGGCATTGCCTAGAGGCTCAGTCTCTGAGCTTTGCCAAGCGGTGTAATCGCCCCTGAGACGAGGTGGCACCGCCTAGAGGTTCAGTCTCCGAGCTCTGCCAGGCGGTGCAACCGCCCTAGTTAGGCGGTGCAACCACCAGACCCCGAAATTCCGGGAGATGATAGTTTTGAGCTCGAAATTTAAACTGGTTTGGGGCCTCTAAATACCCCACCCTTTCAGCAATGAAAGGGCAACCAAATGCACCAAAAATCCAATCTTACTCAGTGATTTTTAGAGCTCAAAAGTGTTGTATGAGTTAAAAGTTCTCCTTCCTCTTTTCTTCTAAGTTTTGATCTGTCAAGAGAGGAAAGAAAATTCTGTAAGGGTTGTCTCCTAAGCCCGTCAAAAGGAGTGAAACTGTAAAAGGGTGGTTGGCCTTCGCCTATTGAAGGAAGGCCTCTAGTGGACGTCGGTGACCTCATCAGAGGAGGAAGCCAGAAGTGGATGTAGGTCAAGATTGATCGAACCACTCTAAAATTGCGGTGCTTTCTGGTTTGCATTTATTCTTATTGCTTACCTTAGTGCAAACCTCCATATGTGCTTTACTTCCTCTTTACTTTTGCTGCACTCCTTTACAAACTCTCTTTCAAGTTAAGTTTCCGAAAACGGTTTTACGTCGGAAATAATTTCATCATACGAACGCAGTTTTAAACATCGAAAGTTTTTCGCTGCACTAATTCACCCCCCCCCCCCTCTTAGTACTCTTGATCCTAACAAATATGGCATATTGATAGGGTGAGTTTGTTTAAACTCTGGGAGTTTAGTTAGCTCCGTGTCGTTATAAAAAGGGAGAGATTATTGAATCTCGGATATTGATGATAAAACCAATTGATGAGTGTTTATGATTTAATTTGTGTTTCGAGTGACGTAGGATGCTTCGATCAGGGAGAGACAATTAAAACAGGAAAAATCATGTTGGGCTAGAGGAAAACATGTCAGAAGATTGGACGTCGGGTCGGAGGATCGGTTGACGTATCGACAGAAGGCTTCGGACCATGGATTCAGGCATCGGGACAAGAAGAGCGGATATTGCACCAAGGATATCAGAGTTGCAGAGTCAACTGGCCGATTGGGCAATAGGCCATAAGAGTGGACGATGCGCCGAAGAATCGGACGAAGTGTCTAGGGACCAATGACATGTCGGACAACATGATTCATGCTTAGTATATTAATTGTCTAGATCGAAGTGAGTTTTACATATGCAGGATTAACTACGATAGCAAGGCATAAAGCAAAATAAAGTCCTGGAGTCAAGAACGTAATTTCATTGGGAGTTCGAGAGTTCGTCGGAAGTCCGGACGTTCATTGGAAGTTCTATAGGAACCAACCGAGAAGTCCAGGAGCTTGCCGAAGAAGTTCGTCGGAACTCGCTAAGACGATTGTCATGAAGTCCAAGAGCTTGTTGGGAGTCCACTGGAACATTGCCAAGAGATCGTCGGAAGAAACTAGACTTACGGACTTGTTTAGCTTAGAATATGTCTTAGGAATCGTAGTTAGCATGTAATTGGGTTTGGATTTGATCCAACCCAATTAGGGGCCAATTGGGCCCATGTAAGGAATGTTTTGGGCCCAATGAGAGGCCCAAATAGTGTCCCAAGAAGTGGCACCGTCGTGGCATAGTCTCCGAGACGGTGGTACGACCGGTCTAGGTGGTAGTACCACCCAAACATAGCCTTCGAGAGGCTGCAGGCAGTGGTACCGCCAGATTGGGTGGTGGTACCGCCCAGTGCAGTGTCAATTTCAGATTAACACTAGTGGTGGTACCACCCATGCCTAGGAAACCCAAGATGAGATGTTTTTAGGCTCAAAGTTTGAATCAACTTGAGGCCTATAAATACCCCTTTTATCCCTGGTTAAACTACACAAGACTTGAGAGTTAAAAAAGAAAGAAACGTTGTTGCAATCTGGTGTGAACTCTTCTCAAAAGTTCTTAAATGTTAGAATAGTTTGAAAGAGGAGTAAGTGGGGGTGTAAGGGTTATCTCCTAAACCCGGTAAAAGAAGAATCGAGTTGTAAAAGGTGGTTGGTCTTCGCCTATTGAAAGAAAACCGATAGTGGATACCGGTAGCCTCAACGAAAGAGGAATCAACAGAGTAAATGTAAGTCACGATGACCGAACTACTATAAAAATCTGGTTTGCTTTACTTTAAGCATTTTACTTTAAACTGTAAACTACCTTCTATACTTGCTACGCTCCTCTTATTGCTTTCAAAGTTAAGTATTTTTGAAATCGGTTTTATCGTACGAAACCAAAAATTTTTTATAACCGACGTGATTTGACCGCTGCATTAATTCAATCCTCCCTCTCTTAGTGCCACTCTTGATCCTAACACTCTTATACAAAGGTGTCATGACAAAATCATATTCAAAATGTAAAACTTTATGAAAGTTTTTAAGATAAACCAATACAACACTTATTTTAATTTAAAAAAAAATTAAAATTTAGGCCTTTTACTCAATAATCTCATTTCAAGTCATTTAATAAGATTTTCTTTGAGTAAGATCTTTAATCAATTTTTTCTTATAAAAATTAAATCATATTTAACTCAATAAAATGATCATAATCTCTTAAAATCATTCTTTAGTTGAATTATTACATAATTTTTAAAATATAAATCTCAAAGTCTTATTGGGTCATCTCATATTCTAATCCTATGATCGAACATGCTCAAAATTATTGTTTTGATATCATATATCATGATCTAAATTTGATGGATTAACTGATATATCAACTTCTTTTGATTATTAAAATTATTAAATTAAAATTAATAATAGTATATTTAGAAACATAAATTAATTTTAATGAAGTGATCAGTGGTTTTAGATCAGATGTAGGAGAAGGTAGTCGAGACAGGGGATAATCGACAACAGTGATAGCCTCTGGTGAGAGAAGGCAGCTGCTTGAACAGTGGTGAAGGATGTGATCATGGTGAAATCAGCGAATCAATCAAACATGGAGTAAGCGACAACTTTCTTCGATGAACCAATAGGAATCTAATCGCCGGATGATCCGATCACTGATCAGAGGCGGCAATAGGAAACTACAGCGAACGCGAAGGAAGAGAGAGAGAGAGAGTGCAGCGATCTGAAATCAGCAAAGCAGGGGAAGATAAACGGCTCTAAGAAGAAGACCCCAAGTGATGAAAATTGGGCATCCACTGCCCGGTATCAGCTTTGACAAGCCAGGATGGTTGAGGGCATAAGAGCCGGTGGTTGAGGATCCGCCACTTTTGATGAGACAAGCCGAGCGAAGGGAAAGGGTTAAGGGCAGCGACGAGGTTGGTGGTGATGCGGATGTGGAAGCGAAATTGGAAGTCGCCGTGATAGGGAGGTGAGTAGCGAGGAAACATGAGAAGGGGAGAGGTGAGCAGCGAGAGAGTCGTCGTAGTTAGGTGACGCTACAGGGAAGAGCGACGGAGGAGAGGCCGCGTGTGAGTGGCGCAGGCAGCGATGCGATTGTGTTCGAGAACAACGGGCTACAAAGAGAGTCTTTGCGGATGGATCTGATCGTTGATAAGAAGGATAGCGATGGGTGGAATCAGATCGCTGATCTCTTAGGTAATTGTGGGGTGATTAGTCAACGATGAAAATAGCGCAATAGAGGATTGGAGGACTCCCCGATGAAGAGCACCGCGGAACACTACAGATTCGTTGTTTTGCGATGGAAGATTTTCAGAATAAAGGGAATATTAGCTCTAATATCATATTAGAATAGAAAAAAATATTGATAGTAATTCTGATACATCATAATCTTATTTATAAAATAAAAAATTAATCAATCTCAAAAAAATTAAAATCTTTATTATTTCGTAGGAATAAAAAAAACAATGATGACTATATCATTTTTTAATATATAAATTCTTATTACGTCATGAGATACTTGATGTTTGCAACAATTTTTTATTTTTATTGTCTGCATATTACTAGTCCGGAGAACTGAGGGACCACGCAAGCAAGATTGAAGTTCTCCGTGGTAGGTCTTCCTCTTTCCACCTTCCACCTTCCGTTCAAAGCCAAGACCAATCTTCTGCATCAACCCACAACACTCATTCTGCATCCACCAAACTTTGATGATTCCCATCTCCGCACTTCCCTGTCCCGTTACCTTCAAGGTCATGCTCCACATTGCATGATCATACATACCATCGCCACCGCCAACTTATTCCAAGCTCTTCTCTTCAACCATGTCCCCTTCTTTCTTACTCCTCCTGCTGTTCCTCCTTGGCTTCACCACGACTCCCGCGACCACCCGCTGCACCACCGCGACCTTCATCAAGACCTACCAGAAGTGTGTCACCCTCCCCACTCAAGGGGCATCCTTGGCCTGGACATACCACCCCTTCAACGCCACCCTCGACCTCGCCTTCTCCGGCACCTTCATCTCCCCCTCCGGTTGGGTTGCGTGGGGCCTCAACCCCGACTCGCCCGCCATGACCGGCGCCCACGCCCTCGTTGCCTTTCCCGATCCCTCCTCCGGCGGTCTCCTCCTCCTCCCCTTCGTCCTCGACCCCTCCGTCAGGATCCAGAACGCCCCGCTCGTCTCCCGCCCCTTCGGCCTCCGTCTTCTCTCTTCCTCCGCCGTCCTCCGCGACTCCCGCTCCCCCAGCGACGGCTCTGCCGTCCTTATCTTCGCCACCCTCTGGCTCTCCCCCAACCACACCCGCGTCCACCACGTGTGGAACCGCGGCCTCTACGTCCAGGGCCGCTCCCCGACCATCCACCCGACCGCGCCCTCCGACCTCGCCTCCCGCGCCACCATCGACGCTGCGTCCACTGCAGCCGAGACGGCACCGCAGGCGCCAGACGCGCTCCGGTCGGCCCACGCCGCGCTGAACGCCGCGTCGTGGGGGCTCCTCCTGCCGGCGGGCGTCGCGGTGGCCCGCTACCTGGGGCATCGCGCGTCGCGTGGACCGTCATGGCTCTACGCGCACGCGGCAACGCAGATCGCCGGCTTACTGCTTGGCACCGCAGGGTTCGCGATCGGGATCGTGATGGGCAACCGCCCGCGGGGCGCGGAGCACCGGCTGCACCGAGGACTGGGGGTCGCGGCGTTCGTGACGGCGGCGCTGCAATCAGCGGCGCTGCTGTTCCAGCCGAAGGCCACCAACAGGTTCCGCAAGTACTGGAAGTCGTACCACCACTTGGTGGGCTACGGGTGCGCGGTGGTGGGGGTGGCGAACGTGTTCCAGGGGTTCGACGTGATGGGGCTCGGCCGGTCGTACTGGAAGCTGGCCTACTGCCTGGCACTGTCGACGTTGGCCGGCGTCTGCGTTGCGTTGGAGGTTAATTCGTGGGTGGTGTTCTGCAGGAATGCGGAGGAGGAAGAGGAGACGACGACAACGACGACAAGAGAAGGTGATTCGATGGAGGGAGGAAGGGCATCGAGTTCTCAAAAGCAAGGTCTGAGCCTCTAGTTCTACATCCTGATACACACCAAAATGAAGCCAATCTATTTCTAATTATTATTGTATTTCAATTTTGTGGAAAAGTAAAATCAAAACCATGTTCATCGATACGTGCTATTCAAGCTTAGGATCAATGATGAGCCAAAGCTCTTAATCTTTTTATCACTATTCTTAACACAACCGCACACGTTCACTTAAATTTTCTATCAGCATCATTGCATATAAAAGTTTCAACCACTAGATTTTAGTTTATATTTAACCCATCTTTTTTCATTTCTGTCTAATTTTTGTAAAAAGGATAGGTATTATAAAATTAACTTGATCAGCATAAGTATGATTAATTAAGATGATATAAGGGGATGAGATAGATGGTACACTATAGGCAAATTACTCATCTAGAGAGGAAAACTCATTTATGAAATTTTTGTGATAAGGTAAATGTTTCAAGAAGAATACAGAAAAAATATGTTGCATAACTATAATGTCAGCCATCAAAGAAAGAAAAATAAAACTTACGTTAGCGTGTGCCAGTAATGCACAACCAATCTCGCACTTTTTGCAAGTATTGAAGTATTGATGAGCATTGGAGAACATGCTGAGTATCATGCTAATGAACTGTTCAAGAGATTACAGGCCTAATGAACTGTTAATGCTGGACGCCGACCAAGATGAGGATCGTGCTTACCGAGTTATCCGGCGTCTTGGGCATGAATGCAAGGACTCCGTCTACTGGTGGTATATTGTTGGATTGCGACTAGTTAAGTTATGGGACAGATCTAATCATTATACTAGATTCTGGATTGTTCAATTTTCCACCCAATATAGTTTTTTTTTTTTTAATAAGCTCAGATGCGATGTAAATGTCGGAAGGTGTTTACTTGAAAGCGTATGTAAATGTAGCTAAAGTACAGTAAGGAGGAGAGACAGTTTGCTATAAAAGAAAGTTACTCAAAGTAAATGCAAATCGAGTTTTAGAGTGATTCGGTCAATATGACCTACATCTACTTTCGGATTCCTCCTCCGACGAGGTCATCAGTATCTATTAAAGGCCTTCCTTCAATAGGTGAAGACCCAACACCTCTTTACAACACTTTCTCCTTTTCCCGGGTTTCGGAGATGAACCCTTACAAGTCTCACTCCTCTTTCTTGGATGGTTACAAGGCTAAGAGATCAAGGAGGAGAACTATAACTTTTACAACACTTTAAGGCTCAAGAACTCAATATTATGGCAATAGGTTTCGTGCATTCCATGTAAAAAAGGGTGGGGTTTTTATAGGCCCCAATGGCTTCAAAATTGGAGCTAAAATGTGTCTAATCCCAGATTTTCAGGGTCCTAGCGGTACCACCGCCATTACTGGACGGTACTACCACCTGATACCTGACACTGGGCGGTACCACCACCTGAAAGGGGTGGTACCACTGTTGGCAGCAATAATTGCCGGTGGTACCACCACCCAGAAATCCTGGGGGGCATTGCTTTCCAGGTGGTGCCACCGTCAACCAGGAATTCAAGGGACGATTGGGCTATTCAATTCGTCACAAATCAACCATGTTAAGGGCCCAGTTGGTCCCTAATTAAGTTAGTGGGATTACCTCCTAATCCTAACTTAATTTATGCTCTAACTACGATAATTAAGACATGATCATAGCTCTTCTTGTTCCGATGCGTCAATTGCTCTTTCGGCGAGCTTCCGACGTACTTCGGGTGAACATCCGACGAACTCTCAGCAATGCTCTGACGGACTCCCGGCAAGCTCCTGGACTTTGCAACGATCTTCTTGGCGAGTTCCGATGAGCTTTTATAGCAAGCTCCTAGACTTCTTGGTTGGTTCCCGCAGAACTTCCGACGAACGTCCGGATTTTTGTTGAACTCTCGAACTCCCAATGAGATCTCGATCTTGACTCCGGCACAACACATGCTTTATGTCTTACTGCCATCGTAGTTAATCCTGCACACTTTTCTCAACATATAGATTAGATCAAATAACTTACAATTGACTTCATCATCAAAATTCGAGATTCAACAATCTCCCCTCTTTTTGATGATGACAATCAATTGATGACGGAGTTAACCTTAACTCCCCCTATCTATATGCCATACTTGAGAAAAGACATTCTTGAATTCAAGGCCTTTGAATTCATGAAACAAATTGATAAGTTAAGTTCATTTAAACTTATCAATACACACATCATGATTCCTATCATGATCTAACATTCTCAAAATGATATCTAGGCATGACATCCATTTTCAAGTTTTGATATTTCAAATATGAAGGATGACAAACATAACAATTCATCATTCTATGGGAATATATCAATTTGTAAAATTACAAGTTAAGCTCTTGATATCTTATTATAATGAAGAAAATTTATCAAGCAAACATTTCAAATATATATTATGAAATACATTACATACATTTATCATCAATTTACCATATTTTGGTATTATTTCTCCCCCTTTGTTGTCAACAAAAAGGAGAACGATTCAACAATGCAAGTGTGGTAAAAATTCATGCCACATTTCAATTTGTATACCAATAATATTTAAAGCTTTCATGACATGGTATCATTCAAAAGTTCTCACATTAAAAGTTATAAATATTTAAAGAGATGACTTCCATCAACTTCTACCTTTTTATTTTTCATCAAAACTTTGCATGAAGAAGGAGGGTAAGGAGGAAAATCCATTGAGAGCCAACTTTGAATGAAGTTAAAAAATGATAGAAATTCCGTGAATAAGCCTTCATAACGAAAGGATCATCACATCAAATCCATTTCTCAATAAAAATTCACTAGAAATAAATCCGAGAGATGCATTTGTCAATGGAATCCATGAAGTGATTGAGTGTATCAAAAGTGATGGAGCAAGGGTATGAAATAAACTTGATGTGGCATAATCTCATGAAAGCTCCATTCAAGAAATTCATAAAGATAGTCCAAAAAAGATATACATCAAATTCATGCATAGAGACAAATTAACATTCCTAACTCTCTTCTAATAAAATCATATTATTCTTCACTTAAAGATTTTGTAAAGATATTGGCTAATTGATGTTTCGTATCAATAAACTCTAAGATTACATCATGATTAGTAACATGATATAGTATAAAGTGATATCTAATATCAATATGTTTTGTTCTAGAGTGTTGAATAGGATTTTTTGTTAAACATATTACACTTGTGTTATCACATTTTATGGGAATATTTTTAAGATGAATCTGGTAATCCTCTAAAGTATTTTTCATCCACACAACTTGTGCACAACATGCATTAGCTACAATGTACTCAGCTTCGGTTGTAGATAATGCAACCGAGGTTTGTCTCTTGGAAGACCAAGAAACAAGTGTATGTCCTAAAAATTGACATGTTCTGGATGTGCTTTTTCTATCTAATATACATCTAACAAAATCCATATCAGCATAAGCAATTAGCTCAAAGTTCTCAGATTTTAGATACCATAATCCTATATTTGTGGTTCCTTTAAGATATCTAAGTATTCTTTTAACTGCTTTGAGATGAGATATCTTAGGATTAGATTGAAACCTAGCACAAAGTCCTACACTAAACATGATTCTGGTCTAGTTATGGTGAGGTAAAGTAAACTTCCTATCATACCCCTATAAGGCTTTTAATCAAAGCTTTCTCCACTTTCATTAAATTCTAACTTAGTGGAGGTGCTTATAGGAGTGTTGAGAGCCTTTGAGCTATCCATATTAAACCTTTTTAGCAAATCTAAAGCATATTTTGTTTGACTAAGAAATATACCATTAATTAGTTATTTGATTTGTAAGAAAAAAAAAAGAAGGTAATTCCCCCATCAAACTCATTTCAAATTCAAGACTCATACTTTTAGCAAATGACTCACATAGAGATTCATTCGTAGAACCGAAAATGATATCATCAATATAAATTTGAACAATAAGAAAATTAATTTTAAAATTTTTGATAAACAATGTAGTATCAACCTTGCCTTTAGAGAAATTATTTTCAATAAGAAATGAGCTAAGTCTCTCATACAAAGCCCTTGGGGCTTGTTTCAATCCATAAAGAGCTTTAGTCAATTTACATATATGATTAGGGAGATTATCATTCTCAAATCCGGAGGTTGTTCAACATAAACTTCTTCGAAAATAAAGCCATTAAGAAATGCACTTTTAACATACATTCGAAACAACTTAAAATTATTACTACAAGGATAGGTAAGGAGTATCCTTATGACTTTTAATCGTGCCACAAGAGCGAAGGTTTCTTCATGATTGATACATTCTTCTTGGTTGAAACCCTTGGCCACTAACCTAGCCCTGTTTCAAACCACGATACCAAATTCATCTTGCTTGTTTTTAAAGACCCATTTAGTACTAATAACTAAATGGTCACTTGGCCTAGGAACAAGCTTCCACACCTCATTTCTCTCAAATTGATTGAACTCCTCTTGCATTGTAATGACCCATGAATCATCTTTCAGGGCCTCATCAATATACTTAGGTTCAATTTGGGAGAGAAAAGTGGCGTTTGCATAGAAATTCTTAAGAGAGGAACGAGTTTGAACCCCTTTAAATATGTCTCCTATTATTAGCTCCTTAGGATGAGCATCTATATACTTCCATTCCTTCGGTAAAGAAGGTTCAGAAGAAGATGTTTCTAAGTTGCTAGAAGGAGAAAATGATTCATTCAAGTTCAAATTTTTAAAATTAAGATCATCATCAAAATCATTTTTCTTAACTTCGAAAATTTCATTTAAAACCACATGAATTGATTATTCTATAATCAAAGTTCTTTTGTTAAAGATACGAAAGGTTTTAGAAATGAAAGAATAACAAAAAAAATTTCTTCTTCGGATTTTGCATCAAACTTTCCTAAGGTATCTTTTTTATTTAATATAAAACATTTACATCCGAAAACTTTAAAGTATGAAATATTGGGTTTTTTGTTGTTCCACAACTTATAAGAAGTTTTGGAAAGTAATGATCTTACTAGAACCCTATTCATGACATAGCATGTCATATTTACGACTTCGGCCCAAAAATATTTGGGTAGGCTATGTTCATTTAACATGGTTCTAGCAATTTCTTATAAGTTTCTATTCTTTCTTTCTACTATTCTATTTTGTTGAGGA